CAACTATATTTTTATTGATTTCAGAGAGGAAGGGAGAGGGAGAGAGAGATAGAAACATCAATGATGAGAGGGAATCATTGATCGGCTGCCTTCTGCACACCCCTTACTGGGGATCGAGCCCGAAACCCAGGCATATGCCCTTGACTGGAATCAAACCTGGAACCCTTCAGTCTACAGGCCTACGCTCTATCCACTGAGCCAAACCAGCTAGGGCCCTTTGTGTCATTTTCCCTCTCTGCTTCTCTGTTCCTCCTTTGTAAAACAAAGTATTTGGTTGATCTCCATATTAATGTTTTCCTGAAGACTGTTGTTAAGGTTATATAAATTTTGGTTTCTAGTCCAGTTCCTCTCTCCCCCTCCCCCCAGGACAGAGACAGCTCTCACTGCCACAAGATAACCATCTTCTCTCTTGATTTCTTTTATCAGGGAAAGACATTTGTTAATCTGCATGAAACCAGTTTCACACTGAGCAGCCTATGCAATCTCTTTCTGAGGCATCTTTCTAAACCCTGGGGGAGGAGAGCTGATAACCGCCTCCAGAGAGCTGGAGGACAGTCATGTGCTGAAGGTTAGGTTTGCTCTGTATAGATACAGGGAGAAGATGTGAAGTTGTCGGGTGGAAATTATGATTCTGCACTAAAGCATTTTTAGTGGTCAGCGCTGCCCAAGGATCAGCTAGGCTGGCTGGAGAGATTGTGAATCCTTTAGCATGGGAGGGAGGAGGCAAGAATTTGTTGGAACATTGCATGTTGTAGGGATTTGAGTATCTTTGAAGAAGGGGAGGCAAATCAGGTGATTTAAGGCCTCCATCTACTCTGAGGATATGTGGTTGTGTATAATGTTTCATTGTGAGCCTGTGCTAAGCACCTGTTAGGCTCTGGAGTCTATAGGACTGAGATCTCAGACTTGCACCTGTAAAGTGGATCCTCATACCTTTCCCCTAGGGTCATTAGGAGGGTGAAAGGAGGTGATTCATGATAATCACCCACCCCAGGAAGTATGAATCCCTCAAACTTGTTGGGAGTAGCATCCACACTGAAGGGCACACCCTCCTGAGGCCATGGTCACAAGAACTGACTAATCTCTTGCACTGCTCCTCCTGGTGGGCTTTCTCAGCAGTCAGCTTCTTCAGTGACTAGGACAGGCTCGCCAGGAATGTGCAATGCCTATACCTACCCTATCTCACAAGGCGATTCCTGCTGATTTCTTGCTAGCTGAACTTTGGATCTGCTGAGTCCAGATGATTGCTGTCCAGGATCCTCTTGCCTGGCCCTCTTTAATAGGTAGTTAGTTACCTATTAAACATTCAGTAAACATTTACTAAGCACCTACTGTGTGCCAGGTCCTTGGGATGGTGCTAGGGTGTAACAGTGAACACATTTTCCTGGGTCTTAAGAGTTTCCCAGACAAACAGGGAGATACCCAAGAAACAGACACATGATGTCATCTTTGTGATTAAACTGCAGGAATACCCTGTGGGAGATGGTGACAGGGCATTAGGGAGTTGGGGACACTTCCCAGAAGTGATGCTTAAGCTCAGGTTCCTCCTCAAGTCTTCCAAGTAAGGCAAGGATCCTGAATTTTCACAAGCACTCTCCCATTAGCGAGTGTCCCACATATACACTACGATCATAGCTCTTTGACCTCTTTGTGGTGGGCATGTTCATGCGCATTCTTTTTGACCTCATCCTGCTGGGCATCATGTTAGCCAGAATTATTACATAAAGTCCCAGTCTTAAAGAGTCAGTGGCCATATAGGGAAAATAAAGGGCTGTAAGTTATGAAAAGAGAACCTCCTCCCCCATAATCAAAGGTAGATAATGATAATAGAGAAGCCAGTGATGTATGGAATAGAGGTCAAGGACTTTGGACCCTGTTGGAGATTGATCTACAGAGGAATAGAGATGACTTAGGATGTACTGGCCCCTCCAAAACCAGCACCTAATGAAATCAACCACCTGAGGCTCTAAAGGCCAGCCTTACTTTTTGCTCTTTCTGTTCCGTCTTGTGTCCTAAAGGGCTTGTCCTTAGTCCCTTCCCCATTTGAAGTTCTAGTGTGTTTTTGGGATCAGAGTTGCTCAGGATAACAGTGTTAGTTCAGCCCCATGGAAACACAGACCTGAACTTCCCCTTTAAAAATTAATTCATTCTCTAAATATATATTGAGCCCCTACTATGTGCCAAGCGCTTTGGGTCATAACCAAATCTTAACGTCCTTACTTGAGAATCTCTTCAGTGAGATCCCATCCTTCAGTGATAAAACCTCGAATAGCCAGTGATTTCTTCCCCAGCTCCTCTCTCTTCCTGGGAGGGTTCCTTCCCTGGGTGAGCTGTTTGCTGTGAGCAGATGGGAAGCAGAGCTGAGATGAGTGCAACAGGGATTGGGTAGGGATTACAGACCCATCAGCCAGAGGCCAGAAGAGAAAATGCTTGGATGAAAGAAGGGGATTAGTTTTATTTATATTCCTGTGAGTGTAGAAGAGTTGCGGGTGTGGGGCCTGGGGGACTGGCAGTCACTGAGGGAGAAATGCTTGTTCATGTGTCCTCCCTTTCAGCGTTCTGTTCCCCTTTGTCAAAACCATACATGTCTGCCAAAATTCATTCATCACAGTCAGTGCTCCTTAACTGGAGCCTAGAATATTCTTCCTCCTTTCCAGCAGCCCTTATGGGCCATATATTGCTTTGAGTGAAATACCTTTCTTCTAATAAGTCAGTGGGATTATATGTTATCACAGAGTGGACTTGAACCCATCTTCCTTTTTTTTTTATGAGATGGACTCAGTCTTCTAGGTTTTGTCTTTAAGATCAATGGCTCTGTTATTTCTTGTCATCATCATATCAGCTGCAGTAACAACAATCATTTATTGAGC